GACCAGAACACCTGTGGACTTGTGGACCAGAACACCTGTGGACAGGTGGACCAGAACACCTTGGACTTGTGGACCAGAACACCTGTGGACAGGTTGGACCAGAACACCTGTGGACAGGTTGGACCAGAACACCTGTGGACTTGTGGACCAGAACACCTGTGGACAGGTTGGACCAGAACACCTGTGGACAGGGTGGACCAGAACACCTGTGGACAGGGTGGACCAGAACACCTGTGGACTTGTGGACCAGAACACCTGTGGACAGGTTGGACCAGAACACATGTGGACAGGTTGGACCAGAACACATGTGGACAGGTTGGACCAGAACACCTGTGGACAGGGTGGACCAGAACACCTGTAAGAACACTATAAGGTAATGCCTGCCACTTTTTCTCAAACTTCTGCTGCAAGTCATCAAAAATACATTTAAATTTCACTTTAGTCCTGTTCAGATATGATCTGTCAAATTCAAACGTTTCTGATAAATTCATCGTTTTTTTAAATGCATTCTGGTGCCGAATTATCAAAGCAGCGTAAACAAAAACCTGGGTGAAAGTACGGTTTGTCGTTTTGATTTAAAAAGTTGGATAATTTACAGATGACCTAAAGTCAGACGGATTGTAAAAGGACTCACGTCCAAAAGATCCTGCAATAAATTTCTCCTCGTCTCCTCTGAAATGTCGGGCTGTCCGTCCAAAGCGGAAGATAAAATCTCTTTAAATCTTTTAATCAGCTCCGCTACTTTCCTCTTTGACGTTACTTGAACTCTGAAATCCTGATTTGGTTCGTCGTTCCGTGGACTTTCATTCTGTTCAGCCTCCATCTTTACCGCCAACTTCTGTTTATATTTTTCTTCTTCTTCTTCTTCTTCTGTTTCCTTCACTTCCGGCAAGATGGCGGCGGTAAAGGCTGCGCTGTGAGGACCTCCAGGTAGCAAAGCTCGAAAAAAAGATGTAATTTGATAAACTGTGATGTCCTGACTCAATACGAGTAAAGGAGGATCAATCCGAAATAAATAAAAGAAACTGCTCAGCGAAAAATAACGAGGGACAAAAGAAAAACAACGGCGATAATGGCTACTAGCAAAGCTAACACTGCTAACAAGGCTCTGCTAACCAGAGCCCTATGAATAGGGCCTATAATAGCCCTCTTTATCATAAAGAGGGCTATTATAGCCTTCTTTATTATATTATATTATTTATATGCTATAAAAGAAGATGGAATCTGCGCATCAACGGCTTAAAAGAGGAAAAAGATGAAGGCACGAGACAGAAAGTCGTGGATGTCATCAAGCAGATCATGCCACACTGGAAAGAGAAGACGGACATGATTGTGGACACTGCACCGCCTGGGCCCAAACGACACCAACCGCCCACGACAGATTATTGTAAAGTTCACAGGTCGATTCTTCAGAGATGAACTTTGGAGATCCACAAAACAACACCCCACATGCAGGGAGCTCAACATCCGATTCGCTGAGGACCTCACCAAAGAAGAGCGGGAAGCACGACTAGCTGTGTGGTCCAAAGTGTAGCAGGCACGGAGAGCTGGGATGAAGGCCGTGTTTAAAGGCCCACATGCCTTTAGCAATGGACGAGTTACCCCTTAGATATTTGTTCAATAGATCTACATGTTGGCAAATTCAAAAAAGTTCAAGACAAAAACAACTGGACTTTGTAACAGAAGACGTTTCGCTTCTCGTCCGAGGCGTTTTCTCAATTCAAAGAGCAGAGCGTGCGGGGTTCAGGTTATAAAGCTGAGATAAGATTCACTTACATGTGCAGATTGACCTATCACACCTTAACCATAGGTACATGTGTGTCTTATCTCAGCTTTATAACCTGAACCCCACACGCTCTGCTCTTTGAATTGAGAAAGCTCCTCGGACGAGAAGCGAAACGTCTTCTGTTACAAATAAAGTCCAGTTGTTTTTGTCTTGAGCTGTTTTGAATGTACCGCGTCCTGGATGACTGAGAATCTTCACCAGCGTATATGTAGGCTCTTGGAAATACGGCCCCTTTCCGAGCGCACAGCGCCGTCTGATGACATCATCGCCATTTTAACTCGCCACTTGTTCTGCATTATACATCTTTGGTAGTTGCCATTTTGAATTCTTCACATTCCAGTGACGTGTCTGTTTTTTGTCCGCATCAATTTCGGTGACGTTTTCATGAAACTGTTTTTCAAAAACAAGGTGAACCTTATTTAACATATCTAGACGTGTGTTTAACACTTTGTACAGGTTGTAATCTTTAAACACAACGAGATTTGATGTGGTTTGCAGCATCAGCAACCATCTTTTGAGGACCCGCGGTGCAGGAGGAGCGGTCTTCTATTTCCAGATATTACGTTTTTCCATCTTTATCTTACTGGACTTTAAAGTAGTGTTGTTTAGAGATGTTTCATTGGTTTCCTGTTGTCCTCCGCTTCGATTTGATAACCCACATGGTTTTCTTTCTTATTGAAACTTCAGCTTGTCTGCTTTGCTGCATTTTTATCACAGTTTTAAACAGAGTCCCACTGATTTTCTACTAAGTGTCAGAACGAATGACACGTTTGACCCTGTACATGTTGTTGTACTCAACCTATCGTAACAAATGAGGTATCATTTATTTTAGCTTTAATTGATTATCCAGGTTTTATAACTAAAAAAGCCTCCAGTAAAAATCATTCCAAGTGCCATCTTTGAGTTCAGGTAATCTTATTATTCCAAGAGTTTTGCTACAGTTCAGCGTTTTTTCCACGTATTAAAGTTTTGTTTAGATTTTCATTAATTTTCTGTTTAACTTGAAAAGTGAACTTTCACTCGTGTCTGTTAATGCAAGGGGCTTAAGAGAGGAGAATTTTATTTTTATTTTTTAAAGCACAACATGCAAATATAATATTCTTACAGGAAACTCATTCAAAACATGAAGACAGCAACTTTTGGTCTAAACCAGGGGTCTGCAACCTGCGGCTCTGGAGCCACATGCGGTCCTTTGGTTCCTCCGCAGCGGCGCTTTCAAGCTTTGACCAAAACTGAATTTTATTGGTTGTTATACAAACGACAAAAAAGGAGTAGTTTTAAAAGTTTTCCTGTAGTTTCTTTTGCAAATATGTGAATATTGAAACGTACAAGGAGTAAAACATACTTGAACTTTATGCTTTTAATTAATTTTTCCACAATAAAAAAATACGTCATAGTTTTTATTAATAAAAAAAAAAAAAACTACCCCCCCCCTTACAAGGATCTGGTCTTTTCAGTTGTGTTAAATTGTTAAAAAAATATAAATTATTAGATACTTGTAGACTTTGACTACAAAAGCTGTCCAACAAACCTAAAGTGGCCCCCAGTTGATGATCACGGCTGTAGCATGTTGTTGCAGCTCTAATCACGTTTAATTTAGTGAACGAACACGTAAAATGGCTCATTAGGTCATAAAGTTTGCAGGTGTAAACAATACAACAACAAATAAAGGAACTTTGTTGTAATCTGATACTTTGTCTGGCAAAATTATTTATTCATAAACAGAGAGTGCTAAAATCATCCACTAGTTTTTAACATTTTTTAAAATCTCAATTGTATTTGAACTCTGAACTATATTGAAAGACACGAAGACCTGGATGAAACGTTAATGGAACTGCATGTTAATCCTAATCCTAATCCATATACTCCATTGTTGTCGTTTATTTTATTTCTTTTTTCTTTCTTTCCTGCTTTTTTCATATCCAAGTCTGTCTCAAAGCCCTTCTTAGACTTACACTTTGTGAATTACCACTTTTGTACTTGTTTTTGCTAAATAAAGTTTTCTTAAAAAATAAAAAAAAATTCTGTTTCCGTTTTCACTTACACTTCCGCCGCAACCCGGAAGTGAAAATAACCGACCTCTGGTTTGTTTAACTTCATTAGTTCCGGTGTTTTTGATTCATTAAATCCTTTTTGACCGTTTTTATTGATGGAGTTTGGTTTGATCGACTGTCACTGTCATTTAGCTGCGCGAGAGTTCCAAGAGGTGAGTCCGTGCACGAAACGAGTAATAAAATATACATTATTATTATATCCACACACATTTTTACACTTCTGTTTAGATGTGTGCTTCAAATATGCAAATGTACCAACGTTGTGAACTTCCTGGTCAAAGTAACATTTCATCAGTTTCGTAAATATTTTAATATTTACTTGTTCACTTTATTCAAATGCTTCGAGATGTTTTGTTTGTTTGTAGGATCTGTGCCACGTGATCCAGAGAAGCAAACAGGTAAACACAAACAGTTCTTAAACAAAACAAAACGATTTACTGCTGCTCTAGAACCATAAATGTAAAAATGTTTTTTAGTATTTTATTCACAAAGTGATTCTCAAACAGGCATTTGCTGAAAACTTGTCCCATCTGAACTTCATGCTCACTTCAGTTTCTAAACTTAAATACTGAAAAAGAAAAGTTTGTTCATCACTTTTCACAGAAATAAATATGCAATTACGTCACGGTAACACACAAACATGGACAAAGCGTTAAGATAAAAGTATATTATAAAAAGAAAACAAACTGAGGAGGATGTTATGAAAAGACTTTATAGAAATAAGGAAGTTTGTTCCTCGGTCGAGGTGCAACAGTTTGAAAAGTTCCCGCTTGGGTTGAAATCAAGTGTCAGGAGCTGCTCACAGATTCTGGTGGAGGTCCCGAGAGCTCGGGACGAAGTTGATACTTTTAACAGTTCAGTGTAAGCGAGCGCGTCTGCAGAACCCTGGAAGTAAAACCAAGATCTTAAAGTTACTGTATTTCCAAAAACATCAGGGGATGATGTCAGCTTGAAAAGGTGAAGGGCAAAATGAAAAAGTGACTTCTAACCAGATGAAACATTTAAAAGGCTTATTTGTAACCGCTGAGTCATAATTACAAAAATACTCCTTAGACCCGATGCACGCTTCAGTAAATGACATCACTTTTAAAATCACCTTGTTTTCTATCAAACTGCATCTTCGGTGTCTTTAATCAGTTTAAATTTAAAAAAATGGGACCAGACTGTCTTTGTGACGAGCTGCTGGAAACAAACTCGTCAAAGATCTAATTTAAAATCAATTCTTTAACTTGTTATGTTTCAACGCAACTTTGGATCATCGTCTTTTAGCGGCTTCGTGATTCATGAATCGAGCCGAAGCAGAAAATGTTCGGATGCAACAACAGAACACGAGAGAAAAGCAGCTCAAGTCTTAAAAAAAACATCGAGAGACCTTCAGAACGTCTGGAGAACAGTTTATCCAGACCACAAAACCTGTCTGCGTTCAAATCAATGCAAAGAAATGAAAGACAACAAGACTTTTACTGGACTGTAAACACATTTATAGATTATCTGGGACGTTTAAAGACATGAAACATTTACTCATATCTGGAACGTTTGAACTATAGAAACCTTCATTTCATTCACACTCCACAGAGATGAACAGGACATCAGTGCTGCGATGGTGTTGGGACGTTGTTCAACTGGTCTGATCCCATTAAATCTAAAAGTGTGGTGTGTGCAGGCTGGCGTAAAGACTCTCGTGGTCGTTGTAGAAGAAGCTGCGGAGTTTTCCAGAGTTCTGCAGCTGCAGGAGAGGTCTGTACCGGAGCTGCTTTTATTACACTGCACAAGCTCCTCAACATGTTCGTACCCACACCAAGTTAAAAACGTCAAAGTCTCATTCAGGAGTTTCAGTCTGAAAAGTTATTTGAAGGTTTGCTCTCGCATGATGCTGAAGTGCACGGAGGTCGTAAACGTGCACATTGTTCCTCCCAGCTGCTCCCAGCTGGCCTGCTGTTCGTCACTTTATGTTAAATTCTTTTCTCACAGTTATCCGGATCTTGTGGCTCCATGTTTCGGCCTCCATCCTCTGCAGAGCTGCGGGGGGTCCGAGCAGCGCAGCGTCAAGCCTCAGGTAGTAAAACCATCTGCTCAGCGGCGTGTTTGTGTAATTGTTACTTGGTTTATTCTGTGAAACGAGAGCAGTTTCTGTTCCAGGGCCTCTCGGTGGATCTGAGACACCTGGAGGGAGCTCACGTTTTTCTTTGAAAGCAGAAACCTTTGTGTGTGTGATGTGAAAATAATATGAAACTCGATAAAACGTTATTATTGAGCATGGACTTTGTTCAAAAACACAAAATATTATCAAGTTCAGGACCAAAACTGGGGTTTTCAAACTTTTCTAAATTCAAAAATTCCCTGATTTAAAAAAAAAAACAAAAAACTTTTTTTAATAAAACCTGCAGTTTTGTAAAAGTAAAATAAAACCTGCCTTCTTAGAATGTGAACTTGTGCATGTATGATTGTGTTTCTGCAGGATCTGGATCCGGTCCTGCAGCAGTTCTACGCCCACGGGGAGCGCCTCGTCGCTGTCGGAGAGGTGACGTCACAGCTCTTTGTAGACGTTTAACTCCAGCCTTTGGTTTAATATTAATTGCCAAAAGGCAGGCAGTCATGCCTCTGTTTGTCTTTCTGTCGTTTGTTAGCAAAATATCTCACGATCCATGAGTGGATTTTCACGAATGATATTTGGTGTCAACTTGATTCAAGATGGCCGCCACAGCTACCTGAATGTAACGGACACAAAACCGTTACGGAGCTGAAGTTGGTGGAGGTAGTAGCTGAGGGTCATCCCCAGCTCTCGCTCTGACAGATGTCGCATCAATCAACTGGTCATTTTCAGGATTTAACTAAGATTTTAATAAAAACTGCCAGTTTTGAAAAAAGAATCAAAACGATTTTACTTTAAATTTTTTGTAAAAATGGTGGTGCAGAGGTTAGAGAAGGTGGGCCTGTGATCGGAAGGTCGCCAGTTCAACTCCTCGGACCGACATCAAAATGTGGGTGGGATAGGTGAAGCAGCCACACCTGCCTCCGCCCTCATTCTTCCCACTCTGGGCCCTTGAGCAAGGCCCTTAGCCCCCACCTGCTCCCTCCGCTCCACTCAGAGGCTGTGGTTGTGTCAGGAGGACATCCGGCATCAGAACAGTCTTTGTGTGAGTTCCTTCTCTGGTGACCGCTGAAGACGTGAGCAGCCGAAAGAAGAAGAAGAAGAGAACAAACAGTCTTTGACAGACTTTGATTTTTTTCATCAAAGCAGCCAAACTTTTAGTTTTCAACCTTCACAGTGATCTTTATTTCTCCAGACCTTCTGGAGGTTTTTCAAGGAGCTTGTTGGTTTTTGTTTTGTACTTCAGCTGATTTTTAACGTCCAGTTTTCGTTTCTTGTTCCTGATCCTTCGTTAAACTCCGACCTCTGATCACGAATCATCTCAAAGTGAACGGATGGATGAGGGTCGTGCCGACGGGACCCCCGCCTGAACAGCGTCCAGCGTCTGAAGACCTGCGTCCTAACGTGTGAACACCCTCTCCACACTTTCTGTCCCGTGAACAAACTTTAAACGACTTTTGATGGAGTAAAGTCAGTTCAACTCATTAAAGTGCTAATCTGCCGTCAGAGGGAATCCTGATGAGTCGAATTATTCTCTCACGTGTTCAGAGTCCTGCTGGTGTTTTATGGGTCGGGTTTGAGGCGCCGTGACATCAGATCCCTCCTGAACTCAGAGACTGTTTTACTTTTACAGAAAGAAAACCGAACCGCTCCTGCCTGGCTCTGAAACTGCAAATGTCACTTTTTTCTTATTATTTCTCTTCCAGATGATTTTAGACGACATAAAGAGATTATAAGAACTCACATTTGACTGAAAAAACAGGTTTAAACTGAGCAGAAGGCAACAGATCATTTTAAGACATAATAATATCTGTGTATTTAAGCTGAATGTATTAAAAGTTTGAATTGTTTGTCCCTTTAAGTATAAATAATATTTTAACATCTTGTCAGTGAAGACCTTTGTGTGGACTTTGTATTTTTGAACAACAAAGTCCATGTTCAAGGGCCCATGTTATAAAAATATTCTCTTTTTTTAGCTTGAGAATTTATTTTTATGTCTGAGGTCACTCTTAACTCAAAAACTCACTGAAAACATAAAAATATAATTCTGTCACATTTTGGGGCTCTTTAGGTTTAATAATATTTGTGAACTTCTCAGATGAACCCAAAATAAATGTCACTTTTCCTCCTTACGGTAACCGTTTAACTGGAAATGACCTTCACAGGTACTGTAGTATATCTGAAAGAAATAAAGTAATACTGCTGTATAAATACTTTGTAATGTATTTTATATCAAGTGTACAAAATCCAACTTGTCTCTGACTCGGAAACATCATCTGTCCGTCTGGTTCGTTGACGGGGGGACATCACTTGCTCCTTGTCGTTTGTCTTCTGAGCGGTAGAAATTCAGATTTTTCATCAGGTATTGAATGCACCATGAGCAGCAGCTGTTTAAAAGAAAGGTGCAGTATTTGTGGAGTAAATGCATGTCGCCTGTCTGCAGCGGTGTCCTGTCAGTTTATTACTTGATGTTTGTATAATTCTGGTCAGTTGAACACGTGAGTAATGAATTTTGTTCCGTTGGTTTCAGATCGGGTTGGATTTCACTCCGTGGTGCGCGCCCACTCAGCAGGACAGAGACGACCAGATGAACGTCTTCGTTAAACAGCTCAGCGTCTCCAAGGAGCTGGACCTCCCTGTGTGAGCTCGGTTCAGTAACGTGCACGATGCTGCGGGTACATGACGCATGACGAAAGGATGAGAATTATTCCACTAAACCTTCAAGATGTATGGTTGCGAGAAACATCAGAGCTGTCCGTGTCGTCCTTCTGCCCCTAGCTGTTGGGTTATTTATAATATTTAAATATTAATAGTTGAAGCCATGAGCCTCTGACTGTTTCTGTAGGATGAAGAATTTAAAGTTTGGGAACTTTTCTTCTGATGAGACAAAAACCTGAAAAGGAAAATTATGGAATTTCACAACAGAAAATGTGTAGGAACCCTGGCAGTAAATCAAGATGACTTTGGTTAAAATACTATTTTGTCGTGTGTACAGGAACGTCCACTCACGGTCTGCAGCTAAAGTCACCATAGACACCATGAGACAACAAGGTGGGGGTCTCTCTCTGCTGTTTCAAGCAGCTTCAAAACATTTTCACGTTCCAGTTTCACATCTTTCCGTCAGGTATCAGTCAGGCTCTGCTTCACAACTTCGCTGGGAAGCCGTCCGTGGCTCTGGAAGGCGTGAAAGCCGGTTACTACTTCTCCTTCCCACCTGCTGTCTGCAGGAACCAACAGGTTGGTGCCACTTCTGCTGCTGCATTGCAATTTAATGCACATGATCAAGGAGTTATGTGCAAGTAGGTCGGTTCATTTTTGACAGGACTCCCACTACGACGACGGCTTCGCTGAAGGTTCTTAATGACGTTGTTGAAGCACTGGATGCTAAAGATTATTGTGCTGCACTTTTCTTAGACCTGTCTGAAGCTTCTGACACTGTGGATCATAACATCTTGTGTCAGAAGCTCTCAGAAATCGGTTTCTCAGATCACACCATTGCTACCTTTCAGATCGGAGGTAATGTGTTCAACATAATGGTACTTCCTCCACTTATTTCATTTCATTTCATTTATTTTATTCATTTCAAATTAAAACACAGGAAAAAAACAATTTACAATCCATATGGATAAAGAAAAACAGAAAAGAAAATTTAAAATGAAAGGAAGCAGAAGAAGAAAAAATCTTATAATAACTGCCCCTTCTTAGACAAAAAAATCAATACAAAAAATCAATTAAAGCAATAGTCATTCATGAAAATAATTTTTCAACAACTAAACAATCAATGCAATTCATGCATTAGTCAACCATGAAACAAATAATCAACTTATAGTAATATAATGATTTTAAAAACATTTTATATTAACCAAATTACATATATCTTTGCAACATTATACTCTTAATTTTTTTCTTGAATACAGACATTGACTGAGCTGTTTTAACATCAGTTTCCAAACTATTCCATAGTCCTATTCCATGTATCAACGTTGACCGACCCTTTAAACTAGTTCTATGTTTAGGTTTAACAAAAATATCAGTGCCCTTTAGATTATAACAACTTTTTCTTTTTACAAAAAGCACTTGAATATTTGAGGGCAGTGTATAATGACGTGCTTTATACATTAACAAAAGAATATTATATTCCACCAAATCATAAAACCCCAGCAACTTCATTTTACAAAATAATACACTAGTAGGATGATAGTAATGAGTTTTCGTTATAATTCTTAAGGCTCTTTTCTGCAAGATTAAAATGGACCTAGTAGTCGTTTTGCATGCTATGCCCCAAACATCAACACAGTATATTAAATGTGGTATTATAATTGTATTGTACAGCAAATACAAAGCTTTCTCATTCAATAAATCTTTAACTCTATATAGTACAGCTGTGGATTTGGATAATTTACTTTTTACAAGATTTATGTGCTGTTTCCAAGACAATCTGTCATCAATAACCACACCCAAAAACTTTGTTTCACTCGCTCTACATATTTCAATATCATCGATTTTGAAAGGAACATCAGTAGTTGTCACTCTATTACCAAAAATCATATAATTTGTTTTATTAATATTCAATGATAACTTGTTTAAATTAAACCAAGTTTGTATTTTGACAAACTCCCTCTTAATTAACTCTAACATTTGTTCCAAATCAGTACCGGAATAAAAGAAAGTGGTGTCATCTGCGAAAAGAACACATTTTAGGATACTGGATACATCAATTAAGTCATTAATATATAAAATAAACAGCTTAGGACCAAGTACAGAGCCTTGAGGTACTCTACATGAAACATCACAGAGGCATGATCTTATATCATCTATCTGTACAAATTGTTTTCTGTCCTGCAAATAACTGCAGATCCAATGAAAAGCTGGTCCTCTTATACCATATTTATCCAATTTATCAAGAAGTAAGGTGTGGTCAATTGTATCAAATGCCTTTTTTAAATCAACAAAAACACTCACACAATATTTTTGTTGATCCACAGCTGTAGTAATGTGTTCTATCAACTCCATCAGAGCCATTGAAGTCGAGTTATTTGATCTGAACCCATATTGACTATTACTCAATATATTATGTTTTTCTAAAAAGAGGTCAAATCTGATTACAAATAATTTTTCCAAGATTTTCGAAAATTGAGGCAGCAAAGAAATGGGTCTGTAGTTGTTAAATTGACATTTGCTGCCATTCTTAAAAAGAGGGACTATCTTGGCTATTTTCATTCTGTTAGGAAATGTTTCTGTTGAAAATGACAAGTTACAAATATATGTAAATGGTTCAATTACACAACTCATTATTTCCTTCACAACCGTCATATCCATGTCTTCACAATCCCTTGATTTTTTATCAGCAAATTTATTTACTACCATCATTATTTCTTCTTTGTCAGTTCCCTTTAGAAGCATACTATTTACACGACTATTTATTAAATAACTCACATTTGCATCAACTTATGTAACAGTCAACAATGGTGTACCACAAGGCTCTGTCTTAGGACCCATTCTTTTTACAATCTACATGGGTAATGTAGGTCAGAGCATCCTTACATTTCTACGCTGATGACACAGTTGTTTATTGTCGAGCTAAAACAGTTGCTAAGGTTTTCCAGCTTTTGCAGTCCGTCTTTGACATCATCCAGTCAGATTTGTTCCACCTCAGACTTGTCTTAAATGCCGATAAAACCAAACAGGAAGTCAGTCCCAGCAGTTCTTCCTTTGATTTTATCCTCAAATGGTGTCCCCATGGAGTTGATTCCTATAAATATTTGTGTATCTTGGTCGACTCACACCTTGTTTCTGTGACTTTCCTTCCCTCCATTGATTACAGTGACATTATTTACATGAACGCTCCTACAAGAACCCTGCAGATGTTGGATGCTGCAGATGTTGGATGCTGTCTATCATGGTGCACTAAGATTCATAACTGGCTCATCTTTAAATCACTTCTTGGTCTGCTGCCTTCATACATCTCCTCCTACATGTCTCTGTGTGAGTGCAGCTACGGCGTGCGCTCTCAGGACATCATTACCTGCAGTGTTCCCTCAACGAGGACTGAACTAGACAAAAGGACCTTCTCCTACTCCGCTCCTGTTTCCTGGAATATCTTGTACAAAGACTTGAAGCTCTCGACCATGACCTCTCTAAGTGGCTTCAAACATCTGATAAGTTCCTGCAGACATGTTCCTGTTTTTAATTTTTTTAATTGCCTTATAATCTAGCTGGGTTTTTTTTTTGTTCCATTTTCTTTTAAATACCATTTTATTTTGACTTGTTAAAAACAAACAAACAAAAAATTCAATTTGTACGCATCCTTTTTGATTGTCCGCTGTTGTCATCACTCTTTGTTAAATCAGGTCTCTCTTCTAAACGAGTCCCCGAGGCTCAATGGGACTAACCTGTAGAAATAAAGGTTGAATGAACTGAACTCAGTTTTATGTTTAGATGCTGTTGGATGTTTATTACAGTTAATGTTGTGTATTTTGGTTCTTCTGCAGCCAGAAAATGTCCTGAAGTAGTTCAGATGGTTTATGATAAACACCTACTGCAGCGTTCTGCAGCCGGTGCTAGAAGCTACTGAATCAGTCCACGACGACAACGGAGTAACAGAACACGCTTCAATACGTTACAGAGAGACAAACTGATCAGGCAGATCCCGCTGGAACACATCTGTCTGGAAACAGACTCTCCTGCGCTGGGACTCGACAAAGATGTAAGTTTCACCATTTAAAGGTCGCTGTGACGTAAACGCTGACGTTTGCAGTTCTTCCTGTCGTGTACTCGTTGTGTCAGGTGAGGAACGAGCCCAGCAGCATCGGCCTGTCCTGCAGCTACATCGCTGAGGTCAAAGGTCTGTCGCCTCAAACGGTTCAGGTCGCCACGGCTCACAACGCTCGCAGACTCTTCCCCAAAGCAAAAGCACTCGGATCATGTCCCGATGCATCCAGGTAGAAAGATCTAACGAAGCTGAGTCAGGTTCAAAATGGAAACACTCAGATCAGACTGCACCTGCTGACAGTGCCACGTATTTAATTATAAGCTCATAATTTTGAATCACTTTATATTTTAAATGCCTTTTCTACTTTAATTTATGGTTGTGTAAAATTTAACCAGGCTTGTAAATAAAAGAGTGAACATGAAGGTTTTGGTTCTCCTTGTTTGTGGGAGCAGCTACTTGTCAGGTAAATCACACCAGGTGACATTTATCTAGAAGAGAAAAACAAACGATAAAAGTTATAAAATATTAATCACGGTTCATGTGTTCAGGGTACAGGAATGAAACGGTAAAACCGTGAACCGTCGTACAGCTCTCCTCGAAGTGTTTTCTCTCCGGGAGTTTCGCCGGGGGCGCTCGCTCGGTGCAGGCCGCCCTTCGCTGCCGTCCTCCGGTCAGCGCGGTGAGCAGCGCCCCGCTGGTCCGCAGGTGGCTCCGGTAGTGCCTCCTCTCGGTCCTCTCCCAGGACTGTCCGGGGCTCATCTCCACCTGACACCACGTCTCCCTTCGCGTATTCAGCTCCAGCAAAGCCCCCTCCTTCGTCCCGGACATATTTATCGTGTTTTTGGTGATTTTTCACTGTTAGAAATGACCGGAAGCTAGCTTGTGTCGCTACAGCGTTTCCGTGGCAACGAGAAACCGAAGAAGCGCGCGATCGCCTCAGAGATATGTTATTTGAGAAGATGAATCACTCGTTTGAGAGTTTACATGTAACGTGCCACTACGCATGCGTATCACAGATATTTTAATAAGACGATGAGTCACTACATGAAAACGTTTCGGCATTTCCTCCTTTTTCGACCTTTGTATTCACACTTTTTATTATATTGTTTTTAAATAGTTGTTTTTAAAATATATACTTTCCACTGATTTGCAAAGAGGCTTTAACGTGGGGCATTATATTAAATTAGGAATGTTTTATCTAAACTAGTAGGTTTTAAAAAAAGTTCTGTTCAGTTCCTGTGTATGTTCTGGGGGGGGGGGAAAGCATTTCATTTCACTTAAAACTAATATTTGTAATGAAACAAAAACAACCTTCTGTATTGAAATCTTTATTTGCATTAGAAACTGCAGCCAGTTTCTTAGGATCCACTGTGGGATGGACCTTTACAAGAGATCCTTCCAGCCTCAGCATCTGTAACATCTCTGAGTGAAATGAGGATAACGAGTTACAACAACAAATAATTTCCCTTTGGGATTAATAAAGTATATTTGAATTGAATTGAATTGAACTAGACAAATATTGAAAAGTTTACATTTGTTAATTTAGGCAAATATAAAGTCCAGACGGATTAGATCTTATTTTAACTAATTACTTACTGAAAGAGCGAGAGCTCCTTAGCTGCCTCTTCTCCAAGCCAAAGCAACAAGATGTCTGAAGATTTCTTTGTATGGCAAAATCAAAATGGGTGGTTGAAGGTACGAGCTACTGCTCGACCGGCTCCTCAGGGGACGGTCCTCTCACAGTTTCCGTTCACCTTCTACACCTCAGACTTCAGGCACAACTCACGATCCTGCATCTGCAGAAGTTCTTGGATGACTCTGACATTGTGGGCTGCATCACTGGTGACCAGGAAGCTGAATACAGAGGTGTGGTGGACAGAACCACCTGCAACTCAATGTTGGATAAACTAAAGAGCAGCAGGTGGACTACAGGAAGAAGACTGTGATGAAGGTTGAAGATGTGGTGGGGCAGCAGGGTGATGAAAGCTGATGACTCAATAAACCCATGAAGAGAGCTGGTTCAGTTCTGGGAGTGGACCTGCAGTCTCTGACAGAGGTGTCTGAGCAGAGGATGCTGAGGATCCTGCTCCTGAACAACACATCCCCTCCCTGCATGGCACACCTTCAGTCCTGGACTGAGACCACCGAGGTGCTCCACGGAACAACAGGAAGTCCTTCAAACTTTTCAGCTCCTCCCCCTTTCTGCACATATCACAATAAAATAAACCCTGTACTACAATAAACACTTTAATGTTTCTGTCTGCACCTGTTTTAGATCTTAATTGTTGGTATTTTTATATTCTCTGTTATTTTTTATATCTTGTGTATGTTCCTTTATACTGAAAATCTGGCACAACAGTTTCCTGCGGGATCAATAAGATAAGAATTCACACATGTTCACACATGTTCACACATGTTCAGGTCTCTCTAGTAAACGAGTCCTTGAGGCTCAATGGGATTAACTTGTCTAAATAAAGGTTGAATAAATGTTCATGCTGTTGATTTTTTTACTTTAAGCCCAGCTGCTCACAACAGACTCATGTTCAGGCTGCTGTTTAATCCACTGTGTTATATTACAATGTTATTATTTATCCTTCTATATAGTTTCTTTTTTAATACTTCATGTTTTTGCTATTTTTGAGTGACCTTGAGTACACAATTTCGTTCCACCTCATGTACCACGTGTGATGAGAATGACCATACAGAACCTTGAACTTTATTGATCCCGCAGGAAATTATCTCTTATCTTATCTTGAAAAGATATGAAAAGAAAGTATTACTGGAAATGGTTCTTTTTCTCTGAAAATTATAAAATGCAATCTCACTGTCTCAATTTTTCAGTTTAAATTTCAACTGAAGAGTGAGTAAACTGCTGTGTCAGACGTGCGTTAAGACTCCTGAGGCCAAAACGCACCTTTGACCACACGTGTGTGTGTGTGTGTGCGTGTGTGAACATGGACTTCATGCAGCTCGTACCTGCAGTGTCTCTGGGTCACAGCGATTAGGATTAACGCAGATAAAGTGCTGAGCAGATGGAGGAAGGCTGCCTTCATCTGCTTTAAAATATATATTTAAAACATTTATATACATTGAAATCACACCAACATAAATGTTTAAATTGACTCCATTTAATCAGCTTTTTTAAATTTTGTTTTGTAACTGAAGTTTCCTGTCATATAACACACCTGACATGTTACAAATTAACTGTTAACAGGTAAAAACACCCTGAAGTCTCTGAATGTTCACACACTTTCCAGTTTGAATATTTCACGTGTGCGTGAGTATAATGTTTATGTGAGATTATTTGTGACATAATTTGAAACATGCATTTTTACATAACGTGGTACAGTTACTTCCTGCTTATTCTGTTTTGTTTAAAAGAAAACCCAAAGCTGTGAAAACATCAGTTTTATTGGTTTAACGTCCAGTTAAATGAAAAAGAGTAATTCAGTTAAACTTGTAAATAAATTACAAAAAAAGTTCAAAAGACCAGATTGAACTTTTTTGTTGTCCAATTAAATGTTTCTAGCTCAAAACCAAATTTAATAAACTGTTTACACCTAAAATACTTTTTATGATGATTATTATTATTAAGGCGTCAGTTTTAAAGAAAAGCCGAGTTTAACCTGCAGCTGCTTTAGGTTCGACCTCAGGGCAGCAGGTTCAATTAGACCGAGACAGCTGGAACTCTTTATTCTAATAAAATGTCAAATACATTTAAATATATTAATGCGAAGGTTTGGGTGGTGTTCCTCTGTGCTGCATCAGCAGAAGGAGCCATGAGGAACCACGAGCTGCGCTTCTATTGGCTCTGCGGCGCGTGACGCGCAGGAACTGAACCGGGCGGAACCGGGCGCGTCCTGCGTGCGTCCTCACTCTGACCACTTCATCGTGTAGACCCGTGCTCGTGCGTCTGCTCCACACCTGTCCAGGTGTTCGTGCTCAGGACCCAGATGAGGAAGCTGCTCTCTCTCTCGCCGGTTCCTCTTCCTGCCTCGCAGCGCGCGCCTCGTGCCTCTCACGCAGAAAAGCCGCCGTCATGGTCGCCGGGGAGCTCGTGCAGGAGCATCTGCGCGCGGACCCCGCACCTGACGACACCACGGACTACAGCAAGAGTCCCGGACCGGACCGGGCGGCGGCGGCGGAGGAGTTCTTCACGAGCTACGGAGCGCGCGCGGAGCCGGAGCTCCCGCCGGATGAAAGCGAGGCGATGCTGCCGAACGGAGGAGGAGGAGGAGGAGGCGCGGAAGAAGAGGAGGAGAAGGAGGACGGGAGCAGGCTCCGAACCCAAGTGTACGGGCGCCGGTTCGCGGTGCTGGCCGTGTTCAGCCTGTACTCCATGGTGAACGCGTTCCAGTGGATCCAGTACAGCATCATCACCAACGTGTTCACCGGATTCTACGGAGTGAGCAACGGCGCGGTGGACTGGCTCTCCATCGTCTACATGGTGGCCTACGTGCCGCTCATCGTGCCCGCCACCTGGCTGCTGGACCGGAGGGGTCTGCGCCTCACGGCCCTGCTGGGCTCCGGCCTCAACTGCGCAGGCGCGTGGCTCAAGTGCGCAAGCGTGAGCCCGCAGCGCTTCGGAGTCACCGTGACCGCGCAGGTCGTGTGCTCCGTGGCGCAGGTGTTCATCCTCGGCCTGCCCTCGCGCATCGCCTCGGTGTGGTTCGGACCGCGCGAGGTTTCCACCGCGTGCGCCACTGCCGTGCTGGGGAACCAGGTGGGCGTGCGTGTGTCCGCGTGCCCCTGTTCGATGGGGTGCTAATCATGTTTAAATACCCGACAGATAAAGAGATGTTTGTTTTAGGGAACTTCAGTTACACCGAAAGTTCCCTAAATGTCATTTAGCCTTTAATTTTTAGGGAACGGCAAGGTTCAGCTATGACGTATGGTCTGGAGACAGAGACATGGACACAAAGACAGGAGACAGAAGTGTCAGGTGAAGATGCTGAGGTTCTTCTTAGGAGAGACAGGGATGGAGAAGATCAGGAATCAGGTCATCAGAGGTCCAGCACAGGTGGAACAACTGGGAGGTGAAGTTAGAGAGGACACACTGAGATGGTTTGGACATGTCCAGAGGAGGGACAGTGGTTTGGACATGTCCAGAGGAGGGACAGTGGTTTGGACATGTCCAGAGGAGGGACTGTGGTTTGGACATGTCCAGAGGAGGGACTGTGGTTTGGACAAGTCCAGAGGAGGGACGGTGGTTTGGACACGTCCAGAGGAGGGACGGTGGTTTGGACACGTCCAGAGGAGGGACGGTGGTGTGGACACGTCCAGAGGAGGGACTGTGGTTTGGACATGTCCAGAGGAGGGACGGTGGTGTGGACATGTCCAGAGGAGGGACTGTGGTTTGGACACGTCCAGAGGAGGGACGGTGGTTTGGACACGTCCAGAGGAGGGACGGT